CAGCAGTTGTCGGAGTTGGGGCAGAAGCTCTCGTTCCCCTGAGGCAGAGCAAAGCCGACCGAAGGAGAGAGAAGGACAGTCGACATCTCATCCAGGCTGTAACATAACTTCTGGGCTGCTGCTTCTGTTCGGAGATCACCTCCACGAGTCTGGCGTAGAAACATCTTGTACTTGGTCCCATCCCACCGGAGGAGTGAAGCTGCTCTGGTCCATGTTGTGAATTCTCTCCCCACATGCCCTTATCTTGTCGTTCTTGTCCCTCCTGTGTGCAGCATCGAGAGCTTCCACTACTACCACCACTACTACTACCACCACCACCACCACCACTACTACCACCACCACTTCCACTACTACTACTACTACAACTACTATTCCAGCACTTCAATACACTCGTAGATAACCTCCCAATGCCAGCTTTCATAATAAGTTGACTCAAGCTGACCTGAACGACACGACACACACACGCACACTTCTCGTCACCAGTGTGTGTGTGTGTGTGTGTGTGTGTGTGTGTGTCAGAAGATTGCTATAAAATATTTACAAGGCTGAAATGTGTGTGTGTGTGTGTGTGTGTGTGTGTGTGTGTGTGTGTGTGTGTGTGTGTGTGTGTGTGTGTGTGTGTGTGTGTGTCAGAAGATTGCCAGGTCATTTACGTAAGGCTGAAAGGTATGTGTATGTGTGTGTGTGTGTGTGTGTGTGAAGAAAATCATATAATTATTACTGTTTATCATTAATTTCTGTCTATCTTTCTGTCTCTCTATCTATCCTGACTCACTTTCTCTACCCCTGACTCACTTTCTCTACCCCTAACTCACTTTCTCTCCCCCTGATTCACTCTCTCTACCCCTGACTCACTCTCTTACCACACTATACCACAGTGGGTCAAGAAGACAAATTTTGGCTTCATCTGAACGTCCATTTTACGTAAAACTGACACTTCACTCTCTAGTAACAGTGCCCAGACAGTGTCGAGAGAGTGCCAAGACAGTGCCAAGACAGTGTCGAGAGAGTGCCAAGACAGTGCCAAGCCTCACACACCGTTGGCCAGATCGGTAGAAGATTCTCTCTCTCTCGTGAAGTAATCTTGGAGATACTGTTCCTGTTGCCAAGCCATTACAGAACACACACACAGACAAGAGTGCTATACCTATCATTACTATATTAATAAACTATACACCACCCAGAGCTATACAGTATAGCATCATACACCACAACAGAGTACAAAGCGAGTAGGGTAGGCATGAACACACAACACGGCATCCAGAGTACAAAGCGAGTAGGGTAGGCATGAACACACAACACGGCATCCAGAGTACAAAGTGAGTAGGGTAGGCATGAACACACAACACGGCATCCAGAGTACAAAGTGAGTAGGGTAGGCATGAACACAACACGGCATCCAGAGTACAAAGCGAGTAGGGTAGGCATAAACACATCGTCCTATAGCGAGTGGCTGACTACAACTTCGTTCACTGGCACACACACAACCCTCCCCGTTATTTGGTTCCTGGTTGTATAAATAATAATCTGTGGATGATGTAATGATAAAAGTCTATAGAATATAACAGTTGATATCTATCTCGACTTGGTTATCATAATCCGGTGTGTAACAAATGATAATAACGTTGGTATGAGTGTTTTCTTAGCTCCTGTTTTGACATTTAGTAACGTATGGCTTTCGTGTGTGATGTAGAGGTTGGTATAATTCGTATAATTTATTTAGTTATATATTTGATATGATAGATAATTAATTTACCTTTTAAATATATATTACTTATTAAACCCAAGTCAAAGTTTCCTCTTAAGATTCGGACGCATGGTGGTGTGATGTGTTCAGTTGCCAATAAGTCATTTCTCAGATTTTCCTCAAATTTCCGATAAAATTGAACTAAAATTAAATATTTCTTAACTCTAACCTTAAAATGATTATTAATTCACATTATTATATATTATTTACAGGTCATGGTGGTTGTCTGTTCGTCAGGATGCATCAGGAAATTAGTTAAAACAACAGGTAATAGGAAAGCCCTCAAGCGTGGAGCACCTGAGTTTTGAACCAGAGCGGACCGTACACAGGTGACCACACACACACGCGTACAGACACCGGTACACACACACACACACACGCGCGTACAGACACAGGTACACACACACACGCGCGTACAGTACACACAAATTCACACGAGTATATAAACACAAATGCACACAGGTAATAATTATATACATTTAACACACCCACACCCCCCTCCCACACACCAACACCCTCCCTCCCACACACACCAACACCCCCCTCCCACACACACCAACACCCCCCTCCCACACACACCCATACCTATACATAAAATATGTGCTTGAAACACCTTAGTTATTGAAGCACAGACAAACCTAACCTACTGTACCTTAACTTAATCCAACCTAACCTACCTTAACTTAATCCTACCTAACTTAATGTTAACCTAACCTACCTTAACTTAAACCAACCTAACTTAATGCTAACCTACCTTAACTTAATCCTACCTAACTTAATGTTAACCTAACCTGCCTTAACTTAAACCAACCTAACCTACCTTAACTTAATCCTACCTAACTTAATGTTAACCTACCTTAACTTAATCCTACCTAACTTAATGTTAACCTAACCTACCTTAACTTAATCCAACCTAACTTAATGCTAACCTACCTTAACTTAATCCAACCTAACTTAATGTTAACCTAACCTACCTTAACTTAATCCAACCTAACTTAATGCTAACCTACCTTAACTTAATCCTACCTAACTTAATGTTAACCTAACCTGCCTTAACTTAATCCAACCTAACTTAATGCTAACCTACCTTAACTTAATCCTATCTAACTTAATGTTAACCTAACCTACCTTAACTTAATCCTACCTAACTTAATGCTAACCTACCTTAACTTAATCCTACCTAACTTAATGCTAACCTAACCTACCTTAACTTAATCCTACCTAACTTAATGTTAACCTACCTTAACTTAATCCTACCTAACTTAATACTAACCTAACCTACCTTAACTTAATCCTACCTAACTTAATGTTAACCTACCTTAACTTAATCCTACCTAACTTAATGTTAACCTAACCTACCTTAACTTAATCCTACCTAACTTAATGTTAACCTAACCTACCTTAACTTAATCCAACCTAACAATGCTAACCTACCTTAACTTAATCCTACCTAACTTAATGTTAACCTAACCCTACCTTAACTTAATCCTACCTAACTTAATGTTAACCTAACCTACCTTAACTTAATCCAACCTAACTTAATGCTAACCTACCTAAACTTAATCCTACCTAACTTAATGTTAACCTAACCTGCCTTAACTTAATCCAACCTAACTTAATGCTAACCTACCTTAACTTAATCCTACCTAACTTAATGTTAACCTAACCTACCTTAACTTAATCCTACCTAACTTAATGCTAACCTACCTTAACTTAATCCTACCTAACTTAATGCTAACCTACCTTAACTTAATCCAACCTAACTTAATGCTAACCTAACCTACCTTAACTTAATCCTACCTAACTTAATGCTAACCTACCTTAACTTAATCCAACCTAACTTAATGCTAACCTAACCTACCTTAACTTAATCCTACCTAACTTAATGCTAACCTACCTTAACTTAATCCTACCTAACTTAATGCTAACCTAACCTACCTTAACTTAATCCAACCTAACTTAATGCTAACCTAACCTACCTTAACTTAATCCAACCTAACTTAATGCTAACCTAACCTACCTTAACTTAATCCTACCTAACTTAATGCTAACCTACCTTAACTTAATCCTACCTAACTTAATGCTAACCTAACTTAACTTAATCCTACCTAACTTAATGCTAACCTAACCTACCTTAACTTAATCCTACCTAACTTAATGCTAACCAACCTTAACTTAATCCTACCTAACTTAATGCTAACCTAACCTACCTTAACTTAATCCTACCTAACTTAATGCTAACCTAACCTACCTTAACTTAATCCAACCTAACTTAATGCTAACCTAACCTAATGCTAACCTAATCCTAAAATGCTAACCTAACTTAACTTAATCCTACCTAACTTAATGCTAACCTAACCTACCTTAACTTAATCCTACCTAACTTAATGCTAACCTACCTTAACTTAATCCTACCTAACCTAACCTACCTTAACTTAAACCAACCTAACTTAATGCTAACCTAACCTACCTTAACTTAAACCAACCTAACTTAATGCTAACCTAACCTACCTTAACTTAATCCTACCTAACTTAATGCTAACCTAACCTCCCTTAACTTAATCCTACCTAACTTAATGCTAACCTAACCTACCTTAACTTAAACCAACCTAACTTAATGCTAACCTAACCTACCTTAACTTAATCCTACCTAACTTAATGTTAACCTAACCTACCTTAACTTAAACCAACCTAACTTAATGCTAAACTAACTTAACGCCAACCTTAACCTAACCAACCTTAACTTAATCTAACCTAACGTATGCTAACTTGACCAACCTCAACCTAACTTAACTTAAACTAACCTAACTTGACACTCCCCTAACCTAATCCAACCTCATTAGCCACAAAAGTAAACAAAAATCTATCGTAGTAAACAAGAATCTATCGTAGTAAACAAGAATCTATCGTAGTAAACAACAATCTATCGTAATAAACAACAAACTATCGTAGTAAACAAGAATCTATCGTAGTAAACAAGAATCTATCGTAGTAAACAAGAATCTATCGTAATAAACAACAAACTATCGTAGTAAACAAGAATCTATCGTAGTAAACAAGAATCTATCGTAGTAAACAACAATCTATCGTAGTAAACAACAATCTATCGTAGTAAACAAGAATCTATCGTAGTAAACAAGAATCTATCGTAGTAAACAAGAATCTATCGTAGTAAACAAGAATCTATCGTAGTAAACAACAATCTATCGAAGTAAACAACAATCTATCGTAGTAAACAGAAGCATCATCTTACCTGCTATTGTAAATCTATCCATATAGTTGATGAGGTTAACGTAGCACAGGACAGCAACTGTAATGACCTGTGTCTTGGTGACCCTCCGAGGCTGTTGTTCCTCTTCAACTTCCTGGTCACCATTGTTAGAGGTCACCACAATTACCTCTGGGTCAGTAATTAACTCCTGATGGGATAAATTACTCCTAAGACCATCATCTCCTTCCATATTGTTGATGTTTTCTAGTTTAAGTGAATCACCAGGTTTTTGTATATTATATGGCGGCATTTAATTCCCCCTTTTAATAATTTAGGGTTAGTTTAATTTTTTGTAATAAGTTTCAGTCACTTCACAACCCTAGATGGAGGTGTAGTACTTCTCTCTATTTAATTCCCCCTTTTTTTGAATAATTTAGGGTTAGTTTAATTTTTGTAATAGGTTTCAGTCACTTCACAACCCTAGATGGAGGTGTAGTACTTCACCCTACGGCTACCACAAGACAACTGAGACATTATGCCACCTTGACCAAGCTGTTGACACTATCACCGCCGCCCGCTAGTTCACCCCATGGCCAACAGGGGGCTCCACCAGCGTCCTATTTATTCCCCCGCCATTCAGGGGAGAACTAGATTTTAGGGAATTTATTATATACTAAATTTATCTCTTATTTAGATATTTTAACGCTATATAAAGTGATAAATAGAGATAATATATAAATAATTATGTATATATAGAGATGTAGATATATAGTTTCTTTTATAGATATATATTGAAGAAAAAAATCCCCATGTAAGGAAAAAAATATAAAAGTGGGGGAATTTTTTATACCCTAGCTTCATTATAGAGAAATAGATATATATAGAGATACAATTAGACAGAGATAAATAAATAGATAAATATACACATAACTATATCGCTATAAGGATATATATTTAAAAAAAAAAGTCAAATAGGTTCACCAGTACACTCCTACCTATAGAGAAATAACTGGATGTAGGGGAATTTCTTACACTTCTTATTAATAAAGTTTTTACAATATATCTATCTATATATTTATTTATCTATCTATATATATATTAATTAAATATATATATATAATATCTACTCTAAGTTTCTATGTATCCATTGCATCTTATCCCATAGTGCATTAATGTATGAGTGTGTGTGTTTAGCGTGTGTGTTGAGTGTGTGTGTTGAGTGTGTGTTGAGTGTGTGCGTGTGTCTAGTCAGTGTACTCAGTGACCCGGCAGCTCTCTATGGCGGGGAAAATCTGAGGCACACATCTCCCCCGCCCACCCTGTTGGCCTCTCGGGGCTCGATGGTTCTAATTTATTTCATTGTTTACATTATTTTATACTTTATATTTTATTATAAACCCATTAATTATAATCTTAATAAAATAATAAAGATTATTTTAATATTTTTGTAGATAAATATACTCGAATAAGGAAAATAAGTGATATATAACGCCATAGGCCTACAGAATTCGGAAATGCATTTATTTTTATTAGACATATTGAAGCATATAACAAACAACTAATGACATTTCCTACTAATTATTGACATAGATAACCCATCAGAGGATAATAATACCATAAATTCTACCTAAATAACTCAACAATAATGAAAATAAGTAGGCCTAAAGCACCAATCAGAAAAAATATCCCCATTTAACACCTAAAAACTAACTAATTCGAGCATTTAAAAAAACCCCAAGATAATAGACTTAAATAATAAGTTTTTAAGGTCATTTTCAGTAGGTATAATAGAGGTTAAAGGTTGTAAATAAGGTAAATAACCATTATGTAGTTTAGGTTTAAATTTAGCGGGTGTTAAGTGATGCATTGTGGGGAGGTTGGTTAGGCTTAGTGTCCCCGTAGGATATTAGCCAGTGTTATTTGTCGTTTTAATGTCTAATCTACGGGGTATTAGGATATTTACCGTGCCTGGAAGATTCATCAGGGTGTGAAGGAGGGAGGTAAGTCTGTCATGGTGGTTTATGGTAGTTAACAAGAGCTTTAATGTCGTTAGGCTTAAAATTACCAATGGGGGGAGTTTTTAGGCTTATGGCCTCGTAAACATGAACCATAACAATCTTTATTTCCTTTATTTTTTAACCTGTGAGAGTATCTGGTATAGTGTGTGTGTGTTACTAAGGTGTAGTGAGAGGAGAGAGGCGTTCAGTGAGGTGCAATGATGGTTAAGGTAGGCCTATAGGGAAGGAGGAGGAGGTAGCGGCCATGATGGTGCTGTTGCTAGGCTGAGTAGGCCTATGGGGCGTGACCTGCACTCATGACCTGCTCCTGACCCCTGCTGTCATGATCTGCAAGCTGCTGCAACGTTATATAAAGTCAGTCACAAGTAAGACACGCTTTACGTCTCTTCCATAGGCCTATAAGCTTCTGTAGGCCTTATGGGTGATGACCTTGACCACTGCTATATTTAAATTTCTGATATACATATAAATAGACACAATTTCACTCTATAACACAATATAACTCAGGTACAAGCTGTTTATTGAGCTGGGATACGTACGCCATAGGCCTAGTGGAAGTTGACCTTGAGTAATACTATATTTAAATATCCATTATACCTATTAATATAACATCTATTAAGTCTCCACAGCCTATTATAGAAGCTTAAAGTAACACCAATATTATAATTCTAATAGGCCTATAGGTATACATAGGCTGTGCAGGATGACATAAATTTGCAGCTATACTGTAATGGAATTTCTAACATACACTACACATAACTACATATTTTAAAACATACTCACCTCTATGTATGTCAGTCAGTCAGTCAGTCAGTCAGTCACATGTTATACATTAATGGGGTAAGTACTGTAGGCCTAATTAAATAATTAAACTCCTTTATTAAATTTCGAATTAGTATGTGAGTTATTGTTATTTATTCCTTATTATCTAATTTATTTATTTATTTATTCCTATATTTATTTATTAATATTCGTAATTAATCTGTATGTAATCCATAATATTTCTTAATCAACTACTACAAGCAAGTGGTTAATGGTAGACACAGGTACTCAACAATTTTTTATAATAATACGAAATAAAACTAATAATTTGCCTCCTTAATTCACTCATAAGGAAGAGAAATTACTATTATTATTAGGCCTATTATTATTATTATTATTAGGCCTATTTATTTGCTGAGTAATGAAGTGTTTTGGTTAGGTTAGGTTTTGCAGGATTAACTTTTCTTTGCTTGGTATTTTGGACAGCTGAGGTTTAAGCATCCTTGTTAGTTTATTTCAGTCGATGATTAAGCTGGGGTGTTTAATACAGTGCACAGGTGGATTAAGCTGGGGTGTTTAATACAGTACACAGGTGGATTAAGCTGGGGTGTTTAATACAGTATACAGGTGGATTAAGCTGGGGTGTCTAATACAGTACACAGGTGGATTAAGCTGGGGTGTCTAATACAGTACACAGGTGGATTAAGCTGGGGTGTCTAATACAGTACACAGGTGGATTAAGCTGGGGTGTTTAATACAGTACACAGGTGGATTAAGCTGGGGTGTCTAATACAGTACACAGGTGGATTAAGCTGGGGTGTCTAATACAGTACACAGGTGGATTAAGCTGGGGTGTCTAATACAGTACACAGGTGGATTAAGCTGGGGTGTCTAATACAGTATACAGGTGGATTAAGCTGGGGTGTCTAATACAGTACACAGGTGGATTAAGCTGGGGTGTCTAATACAGTACACAGGTGGATTAAGCTGGGGTGTCTAATGCAGTACACTACAGTATTACAATATGTCCTTTGCTATTATTTTGATATTAATTAACTTTTCAGTATACTTCTGATGATCAAACAGCCTCGTTTATTTCACCTGATGATTAGTCACCCAAATTATACCTGGGTGGTGGGGATAGTGAGAGTGATGCCTAATCTAGGGATCAAGGGGGTTAATTTGAAATATATGAGTACACAATTAAATAAGACACTCTCCTTATACAGTGCCAGAGTGAGTTAATGATCTTGATGGGAGGTGGGGCGCTAAATGGCCATCCGAGTCTTCCTACCATTCTCGTGTTGCTATCTTTGAGAAGCGTCTTTTTTTTTTTTCCACGCTGTTGATCGTCAAATCAAAACAGTATACTCAACTCAACGTGGAAGATGAGCTCAGCTGTGCCCTGACGGTAACCCAACTACAGATACCCCAATTATTACAAATATACAGAGGAACATAGGAATGGAGGAAACAGCAGCGGGTCTATACTGGTCAGTCCCGTTTACACCCAACCCCTATTGCTCATATATCCATCCAGCCTCTGTTTGAAGCTATCCAGCGTATTAGAGTTAATGATGATATTTGGTAACTTGTTCCACTCATCCTTTACTCTGTTTCCAAACCATTGTTTACCTATCTCACGCCTAAATCTAAATTTGTCTAATTTAAAACCATTGTTAAGAGTTCGCTCCTGGTTGGATAGTTTGAGTACCTTTGTCATGTCCCCTTTGTTTAGCCCTGACTTCCATTTATACACCTCTATCAGGTCGCCCCTCACTCTACGTCCCTCGAGGGAGTGCAAATTAAGATGCTTTAACCTGTCTCTGTACTCAAGGTTCCTAATGCCCGGGATTACAGGTAGTTTTAGGATGACCTCGCTAGTCTTGTAACTAACAATCCTGTGTATGAACCCAAGTACTTAGTTAGCCTTGTTTCAACCAATACACATTGTTTACTTGGCTTAAGATTCCTTCATATCATTACTCCTAAATCTTTCTCACTTTTGTGTCTCTCTATTACAGTACATCAAATTAACGCCGAGTGTCATTTATGCACGCATGTAAATTCCCCGCACGTACACCGCGTCTCTGGTTTGATGACCCGAGTTGTTGCCGAATTTAGTTTATTTTGTCAGGTTTTTTTATACACTATATTGTTTTATTTTCCACCCATCGATAACTTGTAACCTTTTTATATTATGCAGCAGTTGTGATTGATGGTGTCCCTATGGTTATGGTGTCCCTATGGTTACCGGTGCTGTAAATAGAATAATAACACTTTAAAATACCATATCCAGCCGCACATTCCAATGACAATGCATTGTGTAGCTTGGGGTCACGGAAGTTATCATATTTTGTCCGGGGGGCCACAGAAGTTATCATATTTTGTCTGGGGGGTCGTGGAAGTTATCATATTTTGTCCGGGGGTTCACGGAAGTTATCATATTTTGTCCGGGGGAGCCACAGAAGTTATCATATTTTGTCTGGGGGTCACGGAAGTTATCATATTTTGTCCAGGGGGTCATGGAACAGAAAAGGTTGGGAAGCATTGTACCGTTAATGTTAGGTCAAGTCAGGTCAGGTCAGGTCAGGTCTGGTCCACAGTGGTGTTCAAGCTTTATTACAAGAGTGACGACCTCATCGGTGGTCAGTTGATGCCCGTCACTCGTCACGTGTTGAAGCATGGCTGCCCGAACACAACTCAGTGGGGTTGAGGTGTTGGGATCTGGGTGGACGTGGCAGCGAGGTGAGGTAGGGTCGTCGGCCAAACCACTCCTTAACGACCCG